ATACTCAAGCAGGGGCTGCTCCTCACACAGGCCCTCATGGCCCTGGAAACCCTGCGCACCTTAGGAAGAAGAGTGCTTGGACATCTGTCCCTTACTTGTGCTCATGCACACCACTCCCACCATCCCAAACACCAGGCTGTCCCATTGCAGCACAGCAAAAGTCAAACATCTCTCTGACAGGGATCTGACAGCTGAGTTCATGGGACTGAATTCTGGCTCTGCTTGAGCCAAAGCTGCTGGGCGACACAGGTAGGATTCATGTCCTTCTTTGCCCATCAGATACAGCAGGGTTTAGTCCTCCCTCTGCGTGCACAGGTGGGTCTGGACTGGAAGAACCCACGTTGCTGGTGGAGCAGCGGTGCCAGGCCACGCGCTGCTCTGCGCGGCGCTCGCTCTGCATTCCCACCCGGCRCTGCTCGCTCCGAGCTGCACCTTCCCTCCCTTTGCACGGCTCRGGGCTCGAGGGGAGATCTTTTGCTGCCAGTGTATGTCACTCTCCTCTTCGCCCATCGCCCAAGAGCAGGTGTTGTCCTCAGAGGACCTGCTGGGTCACGTTGCGGGGCCGCCAGGCCCAGAGAACGAGCAGCTGGGAACGTGGGAGGTGCCCAGAACAGCTCGTCTTCTCACTAGACCTCAGCAAGGACCATATGTGTCCAGTGCATAAACACAGCAAGTATTTTATAACACCAGACACAAAGGCCAAATTCTCATATAAATTAAACAGGTATAAATGCCCCCTCCGAAAATCTGTGCTAACATCAGTGTGCAGTGGAATATATTGATACTGCTATGCTTCAGAGGCACAGGGCTCTTGCACACATCCATACAGTTCTCTAGCAGAAAGTTACTTAGCTATATCTGCATCTATGAGATGCCATGGTGCCCAACATGATAGCATTTTAAAACAGAAACCACCTMTTCCTCCTGTGTTTCATTTCAGGAGAAAAATAGTTTCATTTGCCTCATATGTTAGAGACGATAGTATTTTTTTTTTCCCCTGTATATGTCAGCAAAAGACTAAGTGTCTGTATTTTCTGAGGGAAATAAAAAGCAACAGGAGGAATGAGGTATGAGCATCTGAAACACCAAGCCCAAGCGTGGGCGTACAGCAACCYGAACACTTGGTGTTTGCCGCCCCTGCAAGCCGGCTCCTAGGGATGCTGCTACGCCCAGACGTCTGAAGGTCCTGCTTGCGCACGGCAAGGCAACTCCAAGGTTGGGTATATTTCTGGAAAAGCCTGAGGCTAAAACCATCATCAACCTTCAACCTGTTCAGCTAACTGGAGCATTTGGAAAGCGGCCTGTAAGAACAAGATGCTGCTGCAAAGCCTCGACATCTCTGCAACTCATCCATGCCATGCACATGAGACTCGTGCAGCWCAGGCAAACACCAAGAGCATCAGTCCTTCTCCAACAGCTAGTCCACGAGCCTGGAGTAGATAATGGTAGTCTAGAGCCAACAGACAAAAAAACAAAAAGGGTAAGGGTTTTAATGTGTCAGAAGCTTCCACCACATTCTCATCAGCCAAAGGTAAAGTCGGGACGAGCCTCAAGGTGTCTGGAGACCCAACTGTGGATACAAACCAACAGTTAGTGATATTTCAAGCTGTGATGGGTAAACACAGGTTTATGAAGGCTTTGATATGCTCAGGTCCCAGGCTGAAGGGCACGAGGAGCAGTGCCAGCAAACACTCTGCTCTCCTCCCCAGTCCTTTCACCATCAACGATTTAGCACCAGAAAGTTGTCATATGGATCAATACCACCCCAAAACTTTTTCTAGTAAAYGTGCAAAAAATGCTCATGAGGGAATGCACAAAAGCAGTGCGTACCAGACCATCTTTAGCAACCACAACTACGAAGGGCTCCACAGGGCAGGGTTGTGCTCACTGGAGTCTATTACTGTTACTGGTGACCATTTATTCCAAGCYCAGATTTGCCTGAAACAAGTATCAATCTCTGACAGCCAGTCAGGATCTCAAGGAAGACTCAATTCTCTTCCTCTCAGTTCTAGTGGCACAAAAGAAATGCACATCCTTAAACAATAGGCAGTATTTTTCTCAAAAATGCAGGCAGAACTTATTGCAATCAAATTGAACTACCCCAAACCATGCCACTGGCAACAGATACTAGCAATAAWTTTTTTTCTCTGAAAATTAAAACTTCACTAAAGGATCTTTAAATTCTCCCAAAGGCCGGGGGAAATGAGGTAATACAGAAACAAAAGTATATCACTATTGACAGCGATTTATTTTAGTCAAGTACTCTCTATTAGCTAGAAGTTAATTAGAGCCCCAGGATAAAGCATCAAAATGATCTAGGGGTCTGAAGACAAGAACCATTACAGCATTGAGGTACATTTAATGGAAAGGCACTTTGAAACATTAAAATCTCACTGCTCAGTGGGGCTTCTTCAGGAACCCCAATATGTTTAACAACTTTGCCCTAAATCACTACAGAAAACGGAGGCACACTCTCTTTTTCCTGYAAGGCAGTGAGAACCCATCCTGCAGACGCTTGGAAGCGAGAGGATCCACGAGCTGCGCGAGTCTCGATCAATATTTATTGTAAGGATTTCATCAGCCGTCATGCACACGTCGGCAGCCACAGCCCACGTCAGCCCCCTCCAGCATCTCTTGCTGGCTTCATGAGCATCAAGGATCTTATTACCTCAACATGCAGAAGAGCTTACTGAGACAGAGAGGGGGACACATGGTCACCACAGGACCTTGGGGATAAATATATTACATAAATGTAGGTATTAAAGGTTGATTTTTAATATGGTAAGTGATTAAAAGATGTTAGCGAGTCACTGACACGTGGTTTGCCTTGGAGGATTTATGTGTTTTACGGGGCCATCTGGGCTTCACGGCAGCACAAACAGCATCGGTGATTATTAACACCATTATAATGATTAACAAAACACCGCTGTGTTTGGATTCCAGGTGTCATCTCCTTCCTGCCTCACAGCTGAGTCTCTCCGGAGGTTGGCTTGGATCTGGACAACCTGCCTGGGCCAGCAGCCTTCCCCTGGGAGAGCAAGGCAGCCTGCCCCATCTGCCTGCAAGGGGCAAAGCTATGAACTAGGTGCATTTAACCACAAGATTAAGTGGGGGAGTGCTGAAGTTCACAAAAATTAATAAATAAATTAATTTTAAAAATTAAAAAAGAACCCCACAAAATCACGCACTTCTCTTATAGCTTGTATATAGACGTTCATAACCTAGGCAACACATTTGATGGCGCAAATTAAAATCAGACATCTTCTCCACTAGCTGTTGCCTCACTAATTATCTTTTTTCCTGTCAGGACACTAGACTTTGTTACGAATATCAATAGCTTTCCTGTTTGTGGCCTCTGTTGATTAGGAGCTGTCTGGAGCGGGTGTTCTCTGCACTGCAGGAAAGTGTAGCTGTGCCCATCACCTCAAACTCCCTGTCATAATTCACACCCAAGCAACTTTCTCCTGCCCTCCAAAAATCAGCCCCAATTTGGATTACTCCCTTTTTGAATTGAGCTTTGACTCCAGACAAATTTAATTATCTGACCTAAAGGACTAAACCTGGGGATTTAAGGCCTATAGGAAAACCCAACAATGTGGGACCCTCCAGGCTCCTTCACCCTGGTCCCAGGCTGCTCCAAGTGTCCCCACGCCAGCATGTGCTGACCTGGGATTATTTACTGTGGCTTTCAAAGCAAAAAACACACATTATTTAAAACTGAAGCAACCACTTCRAGGCATGTCACTGAAATCCAACTGCATCACAAATTATTATGAATCAGCTAATTTTCAAGTGATTTCCTTTAAAAAAAATCATTTGCACTAAAAATATCAGGCATCCACATATTAATGCCAACTTCATCAGCTGCAGCGAGGAGCAGCAAATTCCACCCACCCTCCTTGATTCCCTAGACCTGGTATTCTGTGTTTGCCTTTTGTTCTTCCATGAGAAAAATGGGAAGACAAACGAGTATTTCACACCTGTCAGCAGATCACCTGACAGAGGATGCCACGAACAAATTCATCACTGCACAGGGGAGCTATATTCAGGATGACGTGAGTGCAAAGCCCTTATTAATTGCAGACTTCTTGCTGAGGAAATATCCGAGCATGAAGGGCAGGTTTTAAATTGCTGATCAGCATCACTTTTGTTGTGACATGTTTGGAAACAAACTAACGGGCTGGAATTAGGCTCCTTGAATGGCGTGCAACATCTGTTTCTCCCACATAAGAAATAGAATTATTTCAAAATATATTTTGTTTGGATGCAGACTTTTGCTCTCCTTCATGAGATGGTAACTGGAGTGGGGTATTGGGGGGGAAGAAAAGTTTAATTTGTGTGTGTGCAGCCCAGGGGGTGAGGGCAGGCCCGGGATGGGGTGCCATGGGCTGGGATCCCTTAGGCCAACACGGCCCCTCTGCACTGCCCATTGCACCGGCGCTGTGCTGGGCTGACTGCCCTGAGCTGCCCCAGGACACGGGCTAAGCAGGACACAGGCTAAGCAGGACACCTCGGCAGGGCTTCGAATCCCCTCCCCATGCACATGCAGATGTGAATGCACCAGCTGGTGACACAGGGGACGTCAGTGACAAGCACTAGCCCAAGGGCAAATGATGCCCGTTGCCACAAGTGGTCTTGCCCAGCAATTGGGTTTTGGGACCATTCATCTCTCCTCTCTCCTTCATTTGATGTTTGACTCCAGCCTTAAGTCAGTCCAACCACTGCAGCCTTCTCCTCTGCCCAAAGCGTCCCTGGTGGCACCATCAAAGGTGGCTGTCAAGAGGTGATCCCAGCCAGTCCTGGTGCAGGTGGCACCACCAGGAAAAGCTTTTGCAGAGGAAAGAGCACTTCCCTGAGGAGTCTGTTGATGGACACCCCTACTGGGCCAACTAGAGAGAAGGGCACCCAGCCACCCAGGTTCCCCTGCAGGCCCAGAGCAGCCCTTCTGCTCACCCCAGACAAACTGTGCAACATCAAGCAGAGAGCAGCGACACCTTTACCTGTAAAGACCAAGCTGGCGTTTTCCAGTTCTTCCTGTGGCACCTTGAAGCTGAAGGACTCGTTGTAGAAGGGATCGATGGTCCCTCTCATGCAGGAGGTTTTCTTGGTTTTTGTTAGCTTCAGGCCGTGAACAAGCTGGATTTTCACAAAGGGATCTGCCAAGACCACAAAGCACAGGCTCAGCTTTAGCTGCATGAGCCAATATCCTCACAAGTCTTTACTTTTCACGGAGGTTCAGTACAGCTGGGGCCGCTGCAGCAGGGTGGCATCAGGCTGGAAAATCTGGGGATGATTGGGGCTTTTAGCACAATGCAGCTCCCGGTGAGCTGCACTGGCGCGAGACAGTGTTGGGCAGCTGGATTAAAAGCACTCCCTGCCGAAGCCACACAGAGCACGATCAATGACAGTCTTGACAGAGGCCAAATATGCTGCTCGCTTTGAAAAACGCCACGGGCGGACACGGCAGCGAGCGGGGACAGGCACATGCACCGTCCGCAGGGAGCGATGGAAACGGCCAACAACACGTGGGCGGCACGGGAGAGCCGCCCGCAAGGCGCTCAGATACTGCCAATGAAACTGCTCACAGGGCACTGGTGCCCCCGGAGCCCAGCACCACTSCACTGGGCTGCCTCGGCTGCAGAAAGCATGGGAGAAGCTCCTGCTCTCGCTCTGGTTCAGCATTTTGGGCTTAAAGTCCAAGGAGGATATTAACACCATCCGTTTCTCATTACCACAACACAYATAAAACACCACACACAACAAATACCCCAAGCCTCAGGCCAACAGGGACTGAGCATGAGGAAGCCTCGACTGCTCTGCAGTGCAGGACCTGGCTGCCCAGGAGCTGCAGYGCGGCCCCTACCTGAGCCCTGGCTCATGTCCGTCTGCAGCAGCTGCTTGGCTCTGATGATGTCCACGTTGAGTCTCCCTGCGCTGGGCAGGTAGTTTAGCGACAGCAGCAGCTCTCCCAGCTCAACCTCATTCTGTGGAGAAAAGGGAAGGTGGGAGCTCAGAACAAAGCCCAGAAGGGAAGGGAAGAACAGGAAGATAAATCAAATAAATCCCATTTGTCCAAGTGCCCAAACAAAAATTTTTGGTCACACACTGAGCTGCAACAGGAACCACCTGGTGACACCTTCTATTAAGACGACACAAGAAAAACATCTCCAGACAGGAGATGRAGGGAATCCGCAGTCCATACCCCGGAGCACAGTTATGCCTCTTGCAGCTGGGAATGGCCTGGGAGCTTTGCAAAYGCTTTCCACAGCCCTCCTAACACAGGGTGAAGGAGTGGAGCACAAGGTCCTCCCCTCTGGATCCAGCCAACCCCAAATTCCAAGGACTCACATAGGGGCTGCAAAATATCCTTGCTATCAGCACAATAACCAATTACTCTGCCAAGATGTGACATGCAAACCAGTCTGCACTGCTTGTGCCTGTATCAAACCAGCAGCATTTTTAACATCTCCTCTGTCATTTTCACCTTCGCCGAGGCGTTGGCTCCACGCAGAAGCTAATTCCTAGGAACTTCAGTAGTGCAGATGAGGAATCTCTTAATGTCGTTAGCAGCTGGGAAGGGGCAATCAGACAATTTGTGCTGCAAACACCAAACCCCTGCTGCAAGCAGGAGGCAGCCCGGCGCACAGCGGGGATGAGAGACTCTTGAATTCACCTCGGATCATGGAGCGCTGGGAATCCCCATCAGGACCTGGGGCGATGCCCTGGAGTCCCTCCAGGTGACCCCAGYCAGGAGCTGAGCGCTCCCCGCATGGACAAGGCTCCTCGGAGAGGGGAGGCTGCTGCCTGGGGCTGCTCTCGGTCCCCGCTGCCAGGATGGAGAATGAGAGAGAATGAGGTGAGATCTCGTGTGGGGTCTGCATTGCAGAGAGCGGGTTGGTGCCCCTGGGACACAGGGATGCACGCAGCTTTGCAAGAGCCTTCTTGGATATTTGGGTTTAACTATGACTAAGGGGAGCTGTAACACACTGTACTTTTTCCAGGTCCTTTCATCAGGAAAACAGCATGCTGCTGGCTCTGCCTTGCACAGTTTGCTGGGAGCAGGAGGCACAGCAGAGCCCCAGACACCTCCACTCAAAGCATCATTTTAGTCACCATTATTATGCTGATGATGCTGGATCCCAGGCGCCCCTGGAAATGCAATTTCCTGTCTGATGAGGTGCCAAAGTGACACCCAGACTCCGCTTCCGAGATGCTCCCGGAGCTCTGATTAATGTTTCTTCCTTTGCTGCTCCCCTCTGCAGCTCTATCACCTACTCCGCCACTTGTCATTCGGACGCACAACCTTGGGCTCGTCTTTGATCCAGACCCTTCTGTAATTACCATTTGGGTTGAACCATGCCCAAGGAAAGGAAGTACTCCACTTCTCTGTCCTCCCTGAAACACAGCAGGGCCATCTCAGGGGAAGAAAGGTTTTTCATTAATGCTGTTTGCGCATCTTGTTTAGATCAGGGCAATTCTTTATTTACAGGCCCCCTGGACTGCTTATTTTGCATTGCTACAAGACGAGCAAAATCCCACTGCTGAAAACCTCCCCGGGTCCAGATGGGAACCAGAGCACATTACATCAGCACAGACATCTATGCAACGCATCTAATGAAGTTTCAGATTGATTTTCTTCCTCAAGGTTATCTGCAATGGTACCTCCAGGCACATTAGAAAACCGGTGGCTGAGAACAGTTTGCTCTAACAGGCTTTCCGCAATATCCTGTAAAACAGCCATTTCTGGAAGGCCGAGCTATTAAGGACCAGAACCTGAGGAAAGCACATCCACCTGGAAGAGCAATGTTAGCTGCTTGATGGATGTTGAGTACATGCATGGTTAAAGGAGTCACAAAATCCCCTCTCAGGCCTAACGAGCTCTGCACAGCCCAGACTATCTACTCCTGCCCATCTTCCTGGGGAAGCTTCCCAGCTTCCAGGGCTGAGGCCACTCCTCAGGTCTCCGATGTTTTTCACACATTCTAGGAAGAGGCTGAAGGAGTCCGAACAACACATGTTATGTTAGCAGTTGTACACGTCTGGCTCCTGCAAATACCCTGCGGGAAGGAAAGGCCTCGCTGCTCAGCTGCTGCATCCTCGATCCACATTTACCTACTGCGATGCCTCCCACAGCATTGCGGCTGCAGCAGCCCCCCGGCTCTGCCTCTTTACCAGACCTGGTGCTTTCTCTCTGCAGCAGCAGCAAGAMGGAGCTGCTGAGCGCGACCCTTCCAATGCCACGCACAGCATCATGAACACACAGAGGYAGCATGAAGCCATCATCTCCAAACCTGCAGCCTGGCATCACAGAGGCCACGGTCCCACCAGGGAACTGTGTCCGTCTCTTCCCACGTGGGAGCCCATAGGACCTCTCAGGGGCTGCAGGCCCTTCCAGGGAGCGCTGGCCTGTGACCCTTCCTCTGTCAGGGCAATGACTGCACCTCCTCAGCAAGCCCGACACTGGTGCATCCTGCTCCTCCCTCTGCAAACGGCCAGAGCATCTGGAGCTGAGCTACACCCGAGGGAGCACAGGAGGCACCAAAGTGACCGCTGGAAGCAGATGACATTCAGGAGGAGAAAGATCAGAAAAACAGCAAGAGCAAAGCTCATCAGTGCCAATTTTAACGTCCCATTAGTGAGCAGGATGCCAGCAACCCTTCAAGCAGCTGCCAAGGCTTTGGACAGGCTAGATTGCAAAAAACAGACAGGGGATGGAAACCCCCAGACACACTCACTTCCATATTAAATTTCCTGCAACTCTGTAAGAGCACAGGCCCCGCTCCCCGTTGACACAACGTTGGATCAACCACTGCCTCAGATCCCCCTGAGCAAGATCCTCTCACTTTCTCATCAATCCAAAGCTTTACATCTGTACAAGATGTGTTCCAACAACACACAGCACTGTCAAATGCTAGCCCTGATCCGCGCTCCTTGAGCGGGGCTTCTTCTTGGGGATGCACTGCATTAGCTAAGGTATAGCGCTGCCAAGGATGAATTTGGTACCTGAGATCAGTCATTACCTGCAAGGCCAGCTCCCRTATTGCTTTTCCTGCCCATGGCAAGAACCACAGCACAACAACGCGCACTGGGAGCTTGTTCCCAACATGGGAACCAAGCGTTGCAGCGAGCTGCCATAGGAAAGCTCCCTTTACCAGCACAGCACGCAGCAGTCTGAACTTACACAGACTACAGCTCCTAAAATGACCATCAGCTTACTGCACTCATAGCACATGGTCGAAGAAACAGGTCCAATGCTTATTCCCTTTGTCACAAAAATGGCAAAATCTGAAGGGAGAAAGAAAGAATTATGCTATTTTCCCACTACAACTAAGTGTTTTTTTTCTTCTACAGAATGATCTCCAAGCTCTCGTTATTGCTGGTCTAAAACATTTATTCCTGCCTACTCAAATCTGCCAAAAAAGAAATGAATCATATGTCAATAAAACTTAGGGTCTTGAACATGTGTTTCAGAATTAGTCTTTACAGAGAAATGTGCGAATCTGAGCATGGTTACAGCAAGGACTGCCAACTTCATTCATGGTAATTAAGCAACGCCACACACATTTCAGGGATATTTAAGGAGAGCAGAATGTTCCTACGGGGACCGGACAGAAGAACTACTTCAGCTACTGCACTTTAGAAACACATTAATTATCCTGGAAGAAAAAGCTTTCCACATCTACCAAGAGCAAAGAGTTTGGCAATACCTGCACTGACATTTTCTGCAAGGAACTAAGTTCTGCTGATTTCCTGGCTCTGGTTCGACACTGTATGGCAGCTCACCTGGGCCTCTTCTTTGGAAGCAATTTAAGCACTGAATGTACAATTCAAACCAAAGAAGCATTTACATACAGGTATGGCCTTTTCCCCGAAGCATGATGTATGGAACTGACACCTCAAGGGTGAGGAGAAGCCACACTGCTCACCCGTCCTGGGAAGCTCTAGCATGATGCCTGACATGCTGGGCACAGCCTGGTGCATCAGACTKGTTATATCCAGCTTAAGTGTTGGGTTGTTAGTACAAGCAATCGTTTAGGTGATAACAGAGAGGTTCTGCTGCAGGTCGTGTTGTGCCGGCACCCATCAGCTGTGGTGGGTGGAACTGGACCGTGGCCTCAGTCTGGAGGACCCCCTTGCATCCCCGCCATGGATCRCACGCAGAGCTCGCCCGCGTGCCCTGTCTTGCAGCCGGGCTCCCTGGTGCCAGGCTAGTCTCATCATGCACCGGCTCCAGGCTGGCGGCAGCTCTGCCCCTCTGCTCAGGGCCTCTGTGGGACAAGGGCTCAGCTGCCCTCATCAAGCACCAGTTCACGTGCAGCATTTTCCAGGCGGATGCAGGGAGTGCAGAACAGACATTCCCCTCCCCGAGTGTACTCACGGCTTTCGCTGCTCTGGTACCAGCCTTGCCCTTCCCTCTCTCGCTGCCTCTCCTTGCAGCTCCTGCCGTCTGCATTCATCTCCCATACCCCTCCAGCTCAACATGCTTCTCTCTARGTGCCAGCAAAGCCCACACGTTTTGTGCCTTTTGCCTTTACACAGCTCATCCATGCCTCAGTTTTCCTCTCTTGCTTATTACTGCTTTTCTGAGTACCTGTCTCAGCCTTTTCCTCAGTCTGATCTCTGTCCCCAGAGGCAGAGGGTGCCATCAACGGCTGCAAATTGTCACCGTGGCCCTGAATTCAACCTGTGCAGGCTGATGATCAGAAAGGCACCGCCACGGGCTTGCATCGCTCCCAAGAGCCCCAGGACACCTTATGCAAAATACATTTCTACCATATGTACTTCTTTTTTTTTCCTTCCCAGTCTATCATGATCTCACAAGCCAAAAAACACATTTTATTCTAACAAGAATAATGTTTATCCCTGAAATAACCAAGAGTGTAAGAAAAAAGAATTCTTTTTTCTATGACAAATCTGTCATTCCAAAGGCAAAAGAATGCCCAAGTGAACTGTGAAGTGCCAGTTCAGCACTTTGATTCAGCAAAGGCTTCCAGAGCTTGGAAACTGCAAACACATGGTTGAGAGAGCCAGGGAAAGGCAGCTCTGTTGTGCCAGCCTTGCACAGCACTCGGATCCTTAGCGGGGAACTTTAAGGTGAGYCAAGCTCCTGATTTGTGTTTTTAGTGCGTCCTAGAGCTCAGACTGTCCTTGCTGGAGAGGTGGTGATATGGACCAGGACCTGTTCCCTAAAATGATGTGGAATCACTCAGTCCCTCTCCACCCCATACCAGACAACATTCAAGTCTAGTCCAAAATGCTTGCGTTTATGCTACATGCCATTTAGGCCAGATACAAAATATATGGAAAGTTTAATTACCTTCAGGGACATGATGAAAATAAATCTACCACTACCTTGACATTTTTTTACTCATGGATTATGCCATAAGACTGCATATGTACAAAATATCTGCAGCATCCAATATTTCTCAAAGGGGATTGGTGCCCCGGTACTTTCTTGCAGCAAGCTGTTGCTGAATTGCTGCCAGGGGTCCTTCTCCAGGCCCCAGAGCACAGCTCCATTAATAAACACAGCAGTGACCCTGAYAGTGTCTCCCCAGGGCCTGGGTACAAACACAGGTGACTTCACAGAAAGAATCTCCTAGAATCTCTACAGTTGGACTCGATGGTCTCAAAGGTCTTTTCCAACCATAACAACTCCATGATTCTATAAAAGCTGCAGATTGCCAAAGGGTCTTTTTTTCTCATTAGGATTGACCTAGGATCTTTTGCCATGGACTCTCCGTTGGCCATTAAAGCACACAACCACTCCACCCTCCCTGCAGTAATACAGTTTTAAGACAAGTTATAGGCTCCATATTATTTCAACCCAGCAGATGCTGTATGAAATACATGATAATGACTATGTACCAACTGCATCAACTGCCAATGAGCAAAAGGACCACACAAAAAGAGCAAGCAAAAATTGCAGAATCATATAAATCCCATTACCTGWGAACTAGGAACAAGGGCTTTCCACCAGTGTCCGCCTTTCACAAGGTCTACATCGCTCAAGGGCATCGACACTTTGCCAATAACACAGTGGCGTGAGAATTTGTCAAAATCCACTACTGTTAAAAGCAGAGTTCTTCTTTGGGCTTCTAAAAAGGGGATTTCAAATGTGTACCTCTCTTCAAACACTGGATTCTGGGTTTTGCGTTTCACTCCCGTCTGCTTGGAGTTCTTCTGGTCTGGAAGGAGGCAGACCTTCACRTAAGGGTTGGAATGAGCCATGTCTTGCCTTGAACCATCGTAAGAAATGGGAGGAGGCAGATCTTTAGCCTCAATGACTCGGACTATTAGGTAATTATGCAACAGATCATATTGAGTGCTAAAATGTAGCATGCCCAGCTGATACTTTGATAAGATTTCCTCATCCGTCAAGGAGTCCATATCATCGCTGTTTGAATCAAGAGAGTACAGTCTTGGTTCAAATTTTSTAAAATAGTCATCTGGGGTATAGGTTTTTCGCAGGATAGTTGGCTGCACTATTTCTTTTTTAGCTCCTATAATTCCAAATTCAATAGGTTTAATGTCAATTAGGGGAGAGCTTGGCCTCCTGGACTCTAAACCTAAACAAGAGAAAGGTACAAACAGGACTGTTAGAGACTCAGCTCAAGGCATGACACCGCAAACAAGAATTAGTAGCATCCYTAGTGACACCCAAGGGCAGCCTCAGCTTCACTTTTGCCCCTGCAGCCACTTCCACGTGCAATCCCCATGCACATGCTTTGGCACAAAGAGCAGGGCTGTCCTCGTCCCGACACAACAGGATCGGATTTTAACCAGCATGCCCCCAACTTCGCTTGACTCCCTGTCTAAAGGGCGAAGGAGCAGGCAATCCACTGTCRTTTCCCACCACAGCTACATTAACATTGGCAGGGCGGCCTTACTTGAAATGCGCCTTGTGAGGCTGTACGTGGAGCGCGATGTGTCTGAGGACGACCGCCGTCTGTCAGTGGACGCGTCCTGGAGAGCGGGAGGCAACTCGCTCATCGTGTTATCGGAGTCTCCATCCTTGTCCTCGTTCTGGTTGCTTATCCTGTCGCAATGAGACACCTTTGGGTGATGCGATACAACCCAGCAAAAAAGACACTACAGAATAAAAAATGTCTGGTGATATTCTGGACCTAACTCGGGGGCATGTTGTGGAGGAGCAGGGTATCTGCTTCACATCTGCTCAGCAAGGAGRAGGACAAGGAACCGCTGTCAGAGCTCTGCAGAAGTGAGATGCTCTACCCGCCTGCCTGGCTTCACATGCCTATTGCCATCAGAGCGTGACACGGGCCATGGGGACACACGTGACCCAAATCCCAATCAGATGAGCTATATTCATCTCAAAGTAAAAAGAATTAGCTTCCTGCTCTAAATTCATGGTCACACTTGGAAGCATGGCAATCACGAGGAAAGAACCAGCATGGAAAAGCACCGTGCTCAGCCATCCCACACTGCCACGCTCATCTCGCACACAAAATACTCCTTTCCAAATACATTACTGAGGTTTCCAAGCTTGATCCTATAAATATGAATTATTAACAGCTTTTTATTCACATATCTTTTAAAGAACTCCTGTCTGCTTTTTATATACTTGTATAAACCAGAAGAGGCTCCTCGAGCAACAGTAATTCTCCTGCCTTGGGTTCTCTGCCGGGAGGGGGTCAGGATCTGGCAGGATCYAGATAACAAAAGAGGTTTGAGTGAGAAGTCTCTGAGAAGACTCAGGAGCCACCAGAGAACAAGACTGATGATAAAAGAGTCCACAGTGAGTGGCTGATAGAAGTCTGCTAGTGGAAATGAAATCAAGCAATATGACCTGACACCTACTGCATCAAGTTAAAATAAGCCTTTTAGTTAAACCAGGAGACAGAGTAGCCAGAAAAATAGCAGCAGACCACAAGGAAAGCCTCAGCACAAAATGAGCAAGCAAACAGGAATATTGTTTGAGTTTTGCTCCTGATTCACTCTTTCTGTGCTTATGGGTAGATTGGCTATAAATGAACTACRGTGAATCATTTGCTTTACTAATCAAAAACTAAAATACAGCAAGAAAAATATTCTGCAAAAAAAGCAGCAAACTAACAGGAAAGGCCCCCAACTATAAAATGTATTTAAATTTAATTTCTTACCCCAATCTACCCTGCTGTCCCCACATGTCAAATCTAGATCCAAAGCATATGCAAATGTCACCAACCTTGAGTCACACAACTCTCTCAGAATAAAAACAAAAATCTATTTAATATCAAATCAGACACACGTTAAAAAAGGCCACAAAATATTTGAATAACTTTGCAGCCTATTAAGGGGAGTTCAAATCAGGCAGTTTGACATAAAATCAGTCCCAGGAACACAGATCTTTCTCTGGCTTAAACGCAGGTCTCCACAATCACAGGTAGCATTTGCAGGTACTTGTGGTTGAGAGGCAAATGCAAAGACTGAGGAAAAGGCAGGGTGTAGAGCAAATCAAGAAGAAAAGCATGAAGAATGTTCTACAGTGGGTAAACGTAACAGTGAGCTAATAACATACAGATGACCTTCAGTAAGGAAATTGCTACTGAGCCACAATAATTTCTCCTCAAATAAACTTTGGCTCTGTTTAAAGTATCTGTTTCTCTTTAATCACAACCTTTGGGAAGAGAAGTTGAGTTCAGATTTCAATTTAATCTCACAGAATGTGGACCATTTATCTTTGACTTTTTTTTTTTAATGTAGAATATTTCATAGTACACAGGGCAATGCACACCCTCGTTCCCAGCTGATTGCTGCAGGACTAGGATACAAGCAGGGCTCATGAAATCACAACGAAAAGCTGCCATGCCTCCAGGTCAGCACTATTAGATTCACTTTAGCACGGAAATCTTTTTCTAAATTGCCACTGGAGGCTACTGTAAGAAATTGAGAGTAAGAAAAATTAAGTCTCCCAAGGGAAAGGGCTTAAACTTGCAGCTTTAAAGCTCCCTCCTGAATTTCCAGGACACCATGTATCTCAGAGTTGCCAAAGACAAAACCTACATGCAAAAATAAAAAGTTCAAAAAAAAAAAAAGAAAAAAAAAAAAAGAAAGAAAGAAAAGGACAGATTATTAAACACAAGGATTCAATGTTCACGAGCAGGCAAATGAAGACCATAAAATCAATTTTTCACTGGAGAAAGGGTGGGGAGGAAGAAACCTGCACTCCAAATTATATCAGTCAGTGTCCCGGGAGCACAAAGAAATGGCAAGATTGAAAGATCTTAGTTGAAAAGCTAGATCTATTTTTAAAATACGTTCAGGTTGTGWGAAGGAAATACAATAAATTGATTTGTTCTCAAATACGGTGCATGTATCTAAATGCAGAACATGGTTTTGTTAAATCCATCTTCTGTTTTAAGGGCTTCTACTGTATCTAAAAGCTTTTGTTGCCAGGAAAAAGAAAAAAAAAAAAAGGAAAAACAAACAAAAAAATCAATTAGCATAAACAGACCTGTGAGCACTTTAAAACATACCCATTAAATAACTTATTTTGAAACCAATTCCCAACCTCTACTCTGCTCATGCACTTAGCTCCAAACATTCTGTTTCTTTCCCCAAAAAGCTCCTATGTTAATTTAAAAGTGTAATACAAACATAATCCACATCTGAATTGTGCATCAAYAGAGGCTGCCTGCAACCATTTCCACCTCAAACACGTGCAAGCAGCCTGGCCTTCCTAGGATCAGTCAGCGTAAGGCTACACTTTTCCATAGATGGGTTTCTCATTTTTCCCCTCAAACACATCCCTCTTCCCACCTCTGTTCTCCTTACCTCTCCATCCTACTTATTTCTTACTCTTTCTCCAGTCACCCTAGAAACTTAAGACACCCTCAGCCTTCCCTGACACTGCCCAAGTCAAGCCCTGCTAGAGGACAGGGGCAGCAGTCTCGTTACATGAGCAGGGGCCACTCTGCCCTTCCAGCCAAGGGGTTAGCAGAGGGGCTCGGAGGTCACRGGTTTTACACCAGTGCCAGAGCAGACGGGGACATCCAGACCGATGCTCCAAGCACAGCTGTGTGTCCCCCTCATGTCCTTGGTCACCGCCTTGGGTGTCACCTGCAGGCACCCAGKGCAACACAGGGCGCCGACTGCACCCAAGTTGAACGGGAAGAAGAGCAATGTGGATGGGCACAAGAAACCAGGCAGGAACTAAGAGCAGCAAGGAGGGAGATGTCGTGGAAGAACTGGGCTTTCCTCAGAGCTCAACATTTTCTGCGCATGGTTGTTCCGAGAAATTAACAGAAGAGGCTTTCAGATGGAGCAAGGCTGTGGGAAAACAATATAGGCTGGAGAGAGCACTTCATGAGTCCAAAGGTCTCCATACTCCCTGCCTGTAGCAAAGTCCAGCTCTTCTGCAGAGCCACCACCTGGCTTTAAAGCCACAAGAGGAACAGAGAGACATCTTCAATGTTTGCAATGCCCCATAAGCCATGCAAGAGGATCCAACTGCCCAAAAGCTATGTAGAAAATGTCCTGGCACCCCATGTGAGGGGATATGATGTGCCCTCTGCTCCTGAGCTCGCATGGGAAATGCTAAAGGGGCAAAAGGGCATCCTCTCACAGCAAGCCTAGCTGCTTATGCCCAGCATGCAGTTGTTTCTGCGGCAATCCTTCCATGCCCAATACTGCTACCTCACCATTATGCTCTCTTGTGCGCAATGCTTTCCTAGTTAGCATTGATTTTGCTTCCATTTCCCATTAATTGCAGGTGAATCCATCTCTGGGCATAGATCAGACTCTTAAAACTGCTGCTCCACATTTAAAAACCACTCTAACACATCTTTAACATTTCTATTCTTTATTTTTCCGTATTAATTAGCGCACTATTCTTTAATGATACAAAAGATTACACGGACAAGACCAAATGGGCAATTTATTTCRTTAAAATAAGGACTTGCAAGAGGACATAAAATTAACTGAGCGCCTTTGCTGCTTGGGTGCCCCCACTGCAGCATCCTGTGACGCATGTCCCACGCCACAGGCTCCGAGCACCCCAGGAGACCAGGCACCTCCACCAGGTGCTCTGCTCCCAGGCAGGGGAGCACGGCCAGCTGCCCAACCAGCCCCTGAAGGACAGCAGACCTCTGCTCTCTTCCTGCCCGCATTATCTCCTCCACTGGGCTGCACCTCTGCTTTGGTTTCCCAAACGGGGCAGAAAATGGGGAAGATCTCACTGACTTTCTCTGGAATATGTTTGCAAGAACACTACTAATCAAAGATAAAACCTGTGTGTTACCGCTGTTCTTGTTTATGTTTATGATTCAAGGCGGAATCCTGGAAAGCACAAGGATGATTCAGGAGATCAAGTCTTGCTCAACGAAACTTTTGATGAATTTTCTCCCTCAGCACACAGAAGCCCTTCACCTTGCTGCACGATAATCACCTGGACGCCAGGACGAGTTCTTCCACTCTTAAGAAGTTCCCCAAACCACCTTGCCARCATTGCAGCTAAGCTAACAGACTCTGAAAGAATGGGCCATTTGAGGAGGAAACGGGACTTAAYATAAGAAGCATTGTCCCCTTTAACCCAGCCAAACCAACCACCAGCTCGCTGTGCGAGGTGAAACTCCATGCTTGGAGAGATGCCCACTGCCCTCTGAGTCAGGAGGGCCGGAGCTGATGCACCCTGCCACTGCATTCCCACCCTTGGCAAGAGGTTCCTCCTGCGGCTCCCGAGTGTCCCAGCACCGTCCCACGGCCACCCCCGGGGCGGCCGAGCGACCTTGCTCTTCGGGGACGCAGCTGAACTTACAGCCAGGCGGGAGTCTGGGCAGGAAAAGGTCCCAGGATTTCCACTTCATCTTCACTGGTCTGACAACAGCTACAGTCGAAACACTTCTGACAACAATTCCTACAAGTCCAGCGGCACAGCAAGAGATCCGAGATCCTAGCGAGTAGACCCTGAAGCCGTTGGAAATCAAAGCACAAGATTACAACCGGTCGGTAGCCGGTGAGGAATAACATTCACAGGTATTTACGTGTGTTTTCTCACGGCACAACACTAAGGACTGCATTTATCCCCTCTCTAAGAACAGGCGAGCGCTGTGCTGCGGCTCAGCCCACCTCTCCAGCACTGYGGTAAATAAGCACTCGCTGCAGGGATTGCCCCGTTACTGCAACGTCTTATTGGGGATGTCAGCAAGGGGGCGATTTTTACAAAACACTGTGGTGTAACACACAGGGCGGGAGTGGGAAGTTACTACTCTTAATACTTATACTCTAATGCACATCAGCAAACTAACAGATTGGCAAACACAGGACAGGAGTTAAAAGCAGGCGAGTGAAAGCTCTGCTTTAGTTATACGAGGTCGTGTTTAACTTGAAAAAAATCCTCAGCACAGCAACACAAATACATCTTGCCCCAGTAGGTGCATCAGCACGTAACATTAGTAGAAACAACACATGTAGAGCATTGCAGGCCCAAAGATTTGTCACAAAACAGATGAGCAAAGGCAAAATATCCCCACGCCTCCCCCTCCACTGCGATGGTTCACGAGATGTAGAGCCTCACGTGCTTCTTTTAAAGTTACTTGAGCCAGAAAAGCTCCATCTCTTTGGCTCCACGTGGCACTCCTGTTGCCTGCGACACAGCGGCTCCGCTTTGGCACACATGTCTACGTGAGCAGACACACCCGTATTGCCCATCCACCCTGAGGGACACACTGCTGCACTGCTTCCCTAATATTCCATGGGAAAAGCATGCTTATGGATGAAGGAGCTGCATCTTTCTCTGCTGCCTTTTGCTCTGAGGTTGAAATGGACTGTTAACATTTCTTTTTATTCCCACAAAACGTGGTCTTTCCATGAACAAAAGGAGAACATTTTGGGGAAGAAAAAAAGAAAAGAAAAAAAAAAGAGAGAAAGAAAGAAACCACCAAGGCCGATTGAGGAGCACAGCCTGCATGGAGGACCTGAGCAAAGAGGCAGCAGGCAGGAGACGATCCCCTGAGGAGGCAGCGCGAGACCGAGCGCGAGTGAATCATCAGATTAACTCACCTCGTTTATTGGCTCCAACTGTCCTTTTAGACATCCAAGATGAAGCAAAAGGGAACAAAATGAAAAAGGCAAGAACAGGTTAGCAGGGCTCAAATAACTTTAAATTTTCTGCCCAGCACGCCCTAGCCTGGGCAAGCTTCAGTTTCTGGTCAGCTACCACCTGCAACAGCAAGAGCGATGGGAGCTCTCGCAAACCAGCACCAGCTGCTCTCCCTCCGTCCCTTCCCCACTGAGCTCCTCCTGCTCCTCCTTCCAGCAAGGAAATGAGATCCCCAAACCCACCCTGAATTACAGGACAGACCTGCAACACCCCAGGACTTATCCCCCTGCCTGCAGCCCCTTGCTAACCCCCGTATCACTCGTGACCACTTTCCCATTTTCTAAATAACCCAGCTTGGACTGCAGCAGCTATTTGCTGCTGACAGCAAACCACATCCCTCCCAGTTGCACTCCACAGCAGAAAGAGCTCTCATCCAGATTCAGCACATAAAAACATAGTTTTGACCCTGAAACATAAAGGCAAAGCTTCCAGGAACAGGARGCACAGGTTTAGAGCGATCTCCATTTTGTACAGGTCCCTTGAGGTCACTGGGCATCTTCAGCTTCACCCTCAGACTGGGATTAAAACAAACAAACAAACAAAAACCCACACACATAGAAGTTATTTGCTCAATAGTGGAGTCACCCACTCCAATCCTGCACTGCAGACTCTTCCCTAAAGCAGCAGAGAAAAACCTACATCGAAAGAAGTTATCAGAAACAAGCGCTTTGATGCCAGAGCCGTCCCTGGAGGAGGCAGGCGCTCAACTTCTCCCTAGCTGAGCACTCAGCAGCATCCCGGACACCTGCTGAAACCTCCCTCCTAGCTCTCGCTCCCGCTGCTCTCCAGGAGTTTCCTAGTTGTCCTAGCTACTTTTCCATAAAACAGAATCCTAAAATACAAAGGAAAAAAAAAAGACCCCACATGGAAAAATCTGAGCATCCAGCTTCATGCTCATAGCACAGGCAACTGCCACCTGTTACAAATAAGCTTCGATGTAGGATTTACTCCTCAGAATATTCCTAAGGACAATATTTTAGACCCCAAACTCTCTCTCCAGCTTCTCAGACATGGGGGTTCGGTGAAAGGGCCACCTCCAAAGCAAGGAGCCAGGAAGGCTGCAGCACAGTGTGACGAGACAGTGACAAGACACTTGTGCACCGGCTGTTTAAGAAAACCCAAATGTTTAAAGGGTTTTCTTATTCCTTATTAACACCCAGTAGCAGCCAGAGCAGCAGCGGTTTCTCCAGACCGCAAGGGGACCGTTCAAACCGCCAGAGTCCCCGAAGCCGCTGGCCTGGCGCTGCAGCCCAGCCGTGGCACGTGTGGGGAGCAGGGCACGGGGTGGCATCTCCCCGCGGCGCCTCGCGAGCCCCRGTGCAGGTCACGGCCACGCTCACGGCCAGCACCATCTACGTGAAGGTGCCCGTGGCGCAGTCCCCGAGCCCCCCGACACCTCCACGGCCCCGCGGACACCTCGGCCAGGGCTGGTGGCCAAGGTGACACGAGCCGCGCGTGACTCCCAAGGGCAGCGGCCGCGGGACCGCCGCGTTCCCGTGGCGCCCCCACGGGGCTGCCCGGCTGGGACCCCCACCCACGTGCCGACCCGCGCCCACCACGCTGCAAAAACGCCCCCCCGGGGCTCGGCTCCCCAAGTAACGTGAGCGTTGGAGGGCGCTGCCAGGCGGGGACCCCGCGGTGCCGCGTCCCCCTCCCCAGCGCGTTCCGTCCCTGCTGCCGCGTCCCCCCTCCCCGGGCCAGGCCGGGCCGGGCCGCCCCCCGACGGCAGCGCCGCCGCCCCC